AATTCTAGCAACAGAAATAAAATTTACATTGTTTTAAAAATACAGACACATGCACTCATATAAATGTATATATTTATCTCTATGAATGTACATACGTACGTGTAAAACCACCTTCGAAGATTGGCCAACATAACTTATCGGTGGATACATCGTCTACTATTAATAGAATAATTAGTCGTACATACGAGAACAAGTGTCTGATTTGGAACTTAAATGATATGTTTCATCATAATGAACCTTACCAATTGAGCTATATATGCTCAATTCAAAAGAAAATATATATTTTGGAGTCCAGTGTCTTTTAACCGGAGGAAGCAATTCTCTTGATAATTTTATTTCTTCTTTTATGTTTTGTTGGGACGTTGCTAACCGTCGGAGGTGGAAATTAATTAGTGTGCTTTTCCTTGGAGAGTCGGCGTGCTTACGTAGCTGATGATTAAAAGGTGTCTTTTCCAAAACCACGCTTGTACTGTTAAACTTTTAGGTTACATATGCTTATGAACCGTAACATGGTTGACACGTGTGCATGGCATCCCAAAGCAAAACCCCCCTTTGTCACACCACAAAAACCAGTGGCCACTAGTATTTTTATTTTGTTCTCAGATCAAACTCCACTAAATGCTGGATAAAAGTTGGCAAGGAATTCATTATTGTTTCAGTTGATGCAATGGGTGCTCTTGATTTTTTTTTCTTGCTAATTTTGTTCTCTGGCTAGCTAGGTCGGTTATGACAACATAACTTTTTGCTTTTCAAATTGAAAACAAATGCAGATAGAATTAACAAATTAAAGCACCAACGGACGATCGTGCTTTCCATGTATAACAAAGAATTGATTTCTATACACACGAGGTCTTACGGTTTTGCTAATCAAAGCGCGCGCCAGATCCACCCCTCCACCCGCCACCTGTCCTTTTCCTTTTTAGCGATTTTTTTCTCGGCATTGCTTTTTTTTGCGCAATTTTTTCCCTATTGGCCTCCCTCCCCTCGGTGTATTTTTCATCTTTTTCATATACTTTTTAATTTTTTTAAATTTGAAAGTTTTCAAATCTGAGTTGAAAGTTTTTAAATCTCGAGTTGAAAGTTTTCAAATCTGAGTTGAAAGTTTTCAAATCTCGAGTTGAAAGTTTTTAAAATTTGAGTTCAAAGCTTAAATCTTAAGTTAAAAGTTTTCAAATGTAACTTAAATTTTTTCAATCTATTAGTACGAAAAAATCTCCTAAGAAAATAAAAATTATTTTCTTAATTACAGTCATTATCCTTAACTAATAAAGTTAGTTACGCTACCGCGTCCTTCTAGGAACCGTGCATGCTAGTTATGCTCGCGGCGCATACGCGCGCGCTAAGAACGCCCGACTTTAATATTCCAAATTAGTGTCCAAACATCCGATGTGAAGTTTAGTCCCTGGATCTAAACTACCCCTAACTTTAGTGCTAGGATATAACCGGTACTGATGGTCTTCAGAAGGCGTCAAAGTCTGGTAGGACTTTTTAGGAGAGAATATCAAGGTATACAGAAGAGTGTCATGCTACCGATGCTACCAACCCTTAAAAATATATTTGAAAGTCATAAAAAATATAAAAAAAATTCTGAGATGTGCAACACCATGGAATGTAATATCACACAAAAAAAATCAACTCAAAATTCGATGTAAACGTAAAGAAAAAAAAACAAATCTGTTGTTAATAGCGATGTGAACTATTTGCGCACTATTCGCAGCACGAATTTGTCTTTTTTTTTCCTTAACGTTTACAACTTTTGAGTTGATTTTTTTTTTGTGATACTACATTCCATGGTGTTGCACATCTCATAATTTTTTCATATTTTTTGAGACTTTTAAATGTATTTTTAAGTGTTGGTAGCACCGGTAGCATGACACTATTTGGTTGCACCTGGTATTCTCCGACTTTTTTGTGCTAGTTCGAAAGCGTTACAGGACCACGAGATATATAGGTTGAGGGGGGGAAATCCTCCATCAATATTGGTAGCTTCAATGTTGAAAAAAAATATTGGTAGCTTTGTTAATTTCAACCGGTACAGATAAGAGACAATTTACATGTTTTGTGTAGTAATGGATAGTCCTTACTGGTACTATCATAAATAAAAACGATTATTTAAATTATTGATGTATGAATTCTACTAGAAAAATTACTCTACTTATATGTAGATAAAGATAAAAATTCAAATTAATTCTACTGCGCGTAGAGATTACGGTAAAAATAGTTCCGTATACATATAGTCAGGCGGATTCCTAGTCAGGCTCTCCTTGGCATGGTGAGCTAACTAGGCCCAATATCCCTTTCATTGGAAGGATGCAATTTGGCCCGATCGAGCAATGAAAGCAACCGCTCTGTCCTTCAAAGAGAAACATTGAAGAAGGTTAAGCTTCTTTGCATGAAGGCGTGAGGGAACCAAGGAGATGGGCCGGGAGAAGAATATATAGCTGAGATATATTGAATTTTTTTCATTTTTAAATTTTAATTTTTTAATATTTACAGAAATATTGTACCGGTGAAAATATTTACAGAAGTAGACCCAGGGTGATGTGAGGGATGGACAAGATGAAAAAAAGACTAGAAAAGTGCATTTTTGGCAAGGCGAAAATTACATTTACCCCCTTGCAGCCCTTACAGAGAGCGACAAGGGACCTCAGTGCAAAATGCGCACACCTTGCCGCCCTCCACTTGTGCGGCAGGGGTCATTTTTGTAAATATTTTGAATGGTATAATATTTTTTAAATATTAAAAACTAAAAATTTAAAAATGAAAAAAATTCGAGATATATTCAGTGAGCTCCGGATGTAGGACAATTTTTATAGGGGGCATTTAACTATTTGGCAAAGTGGCAAATAGTTAAATATCGTCAATCTGGTAATAGAATCAAACTGACTTACTTATGTACACCAAATTTCCACAGTGTAATGCCTCCCGAAGAGATTATCTAGGAAATCAATATATCCTACACAGTTAGAAATAGAAACTTGATATGCATTGAGCCACATTCTCTTAAATAATAGTAACGTTTGGATTGGGAAAATGGAAACTGTTGTTCGGAAATTCTTTCGGAAACTTTTGGAAACATAAATGAATTGGAATTTTTTTTCTCGGAAACAAAAACAAATATCATAAGGTTATTATCCGTCGGAAACTTTTTGGAAACGAATTCAAATTTTTTTTCTAGGAATCAGAAACAATATTTCTCATATACAACTATTAGCTTCAGCTTTCTCTACTTTAATGTTTAGAGTTATGCCGTGTATTGAGGTGTTTGATTAAATGGAGACATTATTTTAGTCTAGTACTTTAGATTTTTTTTTTCATAATGACTATTTTTTTATTTTTGTTTGACTATGCCGTACTACTTATATTACAGTTATAGATGAATATAGTTCTTTTTTCTTAAGAAAGTAAAGTGTATAACTAGTTGTATTGTTATTAACTGATAAATAATAGAAATACATATTTATTGTTTTATAAAAAAAGTTATTGAGCTATGTATCTTCGTTGATTTGAGAAGTTCAATTTAAAGACTTTTTATATTTAGATAAATATCCGTTGTCGTATTCGCTCTGGTTTCGAATTTGATAATATTCATTTCCGTTTTCATATCCGAGGTTTTTTATTCTGATTCCGATTAAAGAAATGAAAACAGATACATATTTCGAACAGCTTGCTTCCCATCTCCGAGCGCTTGCATATGCTCTTTTCCACACATGGACGGTGTGGACTAAAGTTCACTGGACTTGGAATGCATGAATTTCTTCTAGAGCAACACAGATGCATGAGTTTAAATTTCTGTTGACCTGAATCTTTCTTTATCCAACGGCACTACTCTAAAATTTTCTTATTTAACAGAGAACACGAATGAATCGTCCTGACCACATGAAAGTTTTGGACTTTTGGTCCAATAGAACACTATTATCTACAAATTTCTCCTTACATTTTATACTGATGCGGTGATCCAATTTTTTTAAAAAAAATCTCTAAATTAACATTTCAGCACGTGTAAAAAAATTCTCTAAATTAACATTTGAGCACGAGTAGTAAAAAAATATCTGAGATATCCTAATATACGTAAAATTTGAGACATGTAATTTTGTTTTTACAGCATGAGTATAAAACTGAGCTGTATGCAAAATGTGATACCAAAACTTGAAATACGGCCTGATGGTAAAAAAAAAGTTCAAATTTCTACGAAAACGTTTTAAACATTAAAAGGAAAATCTTTGCGGCGAGCCGGCGACTCCTCGCCGCCGCCGCCCTTCAGGAATGCTGATGGGCGATCGATCGCTATGGGGATGGGGTAGCGATCGATCCCCTCCTCCCTCCCTCCCTCCACCCCTCCACATGGTTTCCTTTTTTGGCACCGCATTACTTTTCTATTTTAGTAATTTATACACCTAAAGTTTATACATCTCAAGTTTACACATCTAAAGTTTAGAGACCAAAAGTTTATAAGTCAAAAGTTTATATATCCGATTCAAATTTAAATTTGAATTCAAATATTTTTTTATATATAGTATTTCTATACATCTAAAGTTTACACACCTAAAGTTTATACACTTAAAGTTTATAGACCTAAAGTTTATAAGTCAAAAGTTTACATACCCGTTTCAAATTTGAATTTGGATTATATCCGATTCAAATTTGAATTTGAATTCAAATATTTTCTATATATAGTATTTCTATACATCTAAAGTTTATACACCTAAACTTTATAGACTCAAAGTTTATAAGTCAAAAGTTTACATATCCGATTCAAATTTGAATTTAAATATTTTCTATATATAGTATTTCTATACATCTAAAAGTTTATACACCTAAAGTTTATAGACCCAAAGTTTATAAGTCAAAAGTTTACATACCCGATTCAAATTTGAATTTGAATTCAAATTTTTTATATATAGTATTTCTATACATAAATTTTTCTAACTTTTGTTTTTTTAAAATAATTTTGTGTGGTTTACTATAATAGGAAAGAAGGGGAGGAGGAAGGAGGGAGAAGAGGGAGGAGTATAGGGTAGGGGGGAGGGGGGCCGAACTGATCGCCCATTAGAAGGGCCCGCCGCCCTTGCCCCACTGGCCACCAGCCACGCCGCCCCGCTTGCCCGCGCCTCCCCTCCACCGTCCCCGCCGCCTCGCCTAACCCTATCGACGGATCGGTGGCGTGATGGCGTCGCATCTCCCCGCCGCCGTGTTATCTTCCCCTATCCAGAATCGAGTTTTTGAGCACCCACCCTGCTCTGTTCCCCGCTGGCGACTGCGACCCCCCCGCATCTCCTCTCTTCTCGTCGGCCCTGTCCCCAGATATCGCGGTTCGATTCGTTCCTTTCTTCATCTTTCCTATATTTGTTTGGATGAATTTTATTTTTTTTATACGCGAGTGAATTTTTCAGTTATAATAATAATCCGAATGTCGCTTCTATTTTTGGCATCGATCTAAGAAACAGTTAGGCCTTGTTTAGTTCGCGTAAAAAAAAAATTTTGGGTGTTACATCAGACGTTTGACCGGATGTCGGAAGGGGTTTTCAGACACGAATAAAAAAACTAATTTCATAACTCGCCTGGAAACCGAGAGATTAAATCTTTTGAGCGTAATTAATCCATCATTAGCACATATAGGTTACTGTAGCACTTATGGCTAATCATAAACTAATTAGGCTCAAAAGATTCATTTCCATGCAAACGATGTGACGTTTTTAGAAAAAAAAAATTGGGGACTAAACCGGGCCTTAGGTTCTTTTGATATGTGGCAAAAACGAACTTTCTTCGAATCTGTTAATCTTAGAGGGCTGAATTGGGTGTTGAGGAGCCAAAAGAAGGGCATTGGAGGAAAGAGATGGGCTGCAGAAATGAGAAGAAGAACAAGGGTAGCGATGGTGACATCGACGGTTTGGATGATTGTTCTGGACTTCTGGTATGGCAGCTGGTGCCTAGGTGCAGGTTAAGCCTTCAGGACTGATGGTGCAGCAGTGCATCTCGGAGGCTCGGATTATGTTGAGGGTGATGCGAGCAAACGTGACATGAAGAATGACATGAAGTTGATGAAGAAGAAAGAGGGAAAAGCTGCGATTACTGGAATTGATCAGGTACTTAATTATCTCCCAATGAAAATGTAGGCTTGGAGCACACAGAGATGGACTAAGTCGAAGAAGAGAAAATGGAAGCGTGCGGACGGTGAGCCTCTGCTGCAGAAGGATTCGCCGATGATCAAATTATGACAAATAGAAACAAAGGAGAGTTCCGTTAAGATGGAATAGGGCAATCAAGTTAACATGTCTAAGATGGGGGCGGATATTGAGAGAAACGAGAAGAGAAGAAATGAAAACGATGAGTTTAATCCTGACTTATGCCATGGTACACTGACTGGAGGAGATGAGGCTGCTGGTGGTGATAAGAATGGCAAGAAAAGAAGAGCAAGGAAGGGGACAGTGGAGGGGAAAGTGAAAAATAAATGGCTGCTCGGTCCAAGGACAAGGTTAGACAGGTGAGCTTCGCTGATGCTGTGGAGGTGTTTAGCAAAGCATCAATGGTGGTGATTGGTGAAGATGAAGAGAATGACAAGAGTGCTGAATCCGAAGTTGTGCATGGACAAAACGTTTTCACCAGAAGAAAATGTGACCCTGATTGAAAGAATTACGCAGAGGTCTCCTCTCTTTTTCTTTCCTCTTGAGTTTAGTACCTGAATACATGAGCAGTGACGAGCACCATATAAAACTAAATGGGAGCTATGCCTCTGACTCACAGTATAAGGGAAAGCAGACTGCTTTTTATTAGTGAACTATTTTTGGAATGACCTATACAAATCAATTTCTTTTCATAAAATGATGCACAAATAAAATGTTTAGAAGCATGAATACCAGTCCTCAAACATATCTTGTATATTCAGGATGACAAATGCTAGGATTATGTTTTGTGAAAGGCTCCTGTATTAAGAACTGTTATTATGACACAGTCATGTTGAAAAGAATGTCTTGGATATTGTTGGGACATGAATTTGGAAAGAGTGAGGTCCATACAATAGACACTTGGAGAATATTTTTTGAGGGAAACACTTGGAGAAGATTAAAACCTAAAAACTTGAAATCAGGTGTTGATCACTGCAACTCTTCCTTTTGAAGTGAAATATTTTTTCACCACATGCTTTGGGTTTTTACTTTTAAAAGGCTGTTTTGATTATTGGATAACTTGTTCTGTTTTTCTGTGCATTCTTCCAGAATGGCTTTTCCCTCATAATTCATGCCACTTTGCTGAATTGGTTATTATGCCAGAAATGGTTTGCATTAGCTGCAGGTTGACTCTGTACTGTAGTTTTAAAACTTATATCATCTGTAGCACTTTGTGAGAAGAGGAAATTGGACTGAAGGGTACCTGTAGTTAGGACTACCTAATTTGAAACTTATATTACCAGGAGTGCAGGTGTGGCAAACATAACTTGTACAAACCTCCAGTAAAGTAGTGTTGGCACAAATCCCATATTGTTTTTTTTTTGGGCTAACCCTGAACTTACTGGAAACTATTTGCAAAAATTTCAAACAATACAGTGGTAAGTATGGAATTGTTTTTTGTACATGATTTTCATTGCCAGTTGCGTGATCTTGTGTTTCAGTTCAATGCAAATACAGTTCACAGTAAGTTCTGAAGGGTGCACTAATTATATTTTAGGTAAAAGATCTTTGCTATGCAAATGAGATTTGATCCTTGTGTTTTGTATCAAATGCAATATAATTATATAAAAATAAGTTATATTCATGGCTCATAATTTTTTACTGTATTGTGCTTTCAGGGCAATGGACTAAGCACAAGTACCAAAACCTGTTTGACTTGGTGAAGTTGGACTTGCAGGTAAAAGCTTATCAAAATTATGATGCTGGTAATCGTCAGGTATGCTATTTACCCATTTTTGTTTATGTATGTATTGCTAGACAGCTTTGACATTTTTAGAACTATTCATATTAATTCTTTTTAAAAGGATACTCATATTGTATGTTTCACTCTAGCTTTCATATTTCCCACTGCTTGTTATTATCGCTTCCCATTATTCCTTGTTATGAAGTGATCTACTTGCTTTCTGGGACAGTTCAGATACAACATTGTCTGGGAGGATATTAGTGAGAAATTGACAACCCGAAATCGCAAGAATTGCTGCATTAAGTGGTTAGTACTAAGCTACATCCAAGCTTCCTACTGTGTTCTAAAAACATAAGTACATTCCAATAATTTATTTATGTTTTCTTCTCCCAGTTGATTTCAGACAGAAGTGCAGTGATCGTATCATTATCCATGTATTTCATCGGATTTGTCCATACAATAATAATACTTACAGTGTCCTCAAAATGGGAAAAGTACATGCATTTTGGTTATTTTAGGTGATAAAAGTTGATAGGCTCGGTCTCCGTACCATAGTAATCTATACCTATATTTAAAAAATATGTAAGTATTCCGTATTTCTTTTTTCGCCCTCTTTTTCTTTTTTTCCGTCATTTTTTCCTCCTTTTTTTTTGCCATCCACTTTTTTCTTGCTGTTTCTTCGCTATTCGGCGCGCCCTTTTTGGTCATTTTTCTCTTTTTTTTCATCCGCTTTTTTGCCGATATTTTTAAGTTGCTGTTTTTTTTCACGCGTTTTTTCAGTTTTTTTCATCCGCTATTTTTTGCATGGTTTTTTTCGTCCTTTTTTTTTCTTTCATCCGCTTTTTCGCTATTTTTTTACGTCATATTTTTTTGGCACGTGGTAAGAATTCAGTTTTTTTTTATCCACTTGGTTTTTTTTCCTGTCATCGGGATTTAATCTTCAACAGCCATCCAGGCCGAATCCTAGCGTCGCTGCCACGTTAATCTGCCTCCCCATTCGTTTCCTTCTTCAATTTATTTGCAAAAATTGATTCTGCACTACTTGGTCATCATTTTCTCCTTCATTTTCTATTATTATTTGGTTTTACTTCACCGGATTTAATCTCCATTTTAACAATCGCCGTTTTTGTCCCATGTTTTACGGAATAAAACCGGGAAGAGAAGATCGAGTGGATAAAAACCCTCAACCATTAATTTTGGTGATGGGAGGATCGAGAAAGATTCGACCGGATTTGATGGGAGGATCAGCTCCTGCATCGTAGGCACTTCAGACGGCTGTTAGTTGTGCGAGCTAGACCTACAGCTCCACTTATGGGTTTAGCTGGCTTAAAAGGAAGAAAGTAATGGGTTTGTAGTCGAAAACCATCGAAAACCAAGGAAGTAGTGTAATGCATAGCGATAAAAACGGTTTTACCCGTTGCTTCGCACGGGCATTATTTCTAGTATGAGAAATAAACAACTATGGTTCTATAATACATGATTATATTTTTCCTATTTTCTTGGACCCTTTTGTAATATTCATAATCTTTTCGATTCTGTTGCTCCAACTCATGTTCTCTACTGTCATTGGATTCATTGCCTATATGGCTGTCTGGCCTACCATCGCCGTTCCTGCCTGCTGGTCTACTGTTATGCACATCAGATTGATTGGCCAACTCAACAACAACAGTGTTGCCCACAGGAAAAATCTTTAACAGAACTTTAATTAATCCAATCGCATGCTTTGTACAGCTAAAGTTTGCATACATCTTCTGCTTCTATATGAATATGCTATCAATATATTCTGCACTTTCAGATACTTCGGATTAGCATCACCTCGGGTTCAGAAAGGACTCTGGGCAGATACTAATGACTATCGATTTCGTAGAAGCGTAAGTTGTACAGATTTTACCAATTTTATTGTTCTTTTCAAAATTTAAAGGCATGTCATTTATGCATGGGAGTTCTAAAATATTACTTGTTTCAGTTTCAATAATTGACAGATTGGTACAGAGCATATCCCAGATTGGCTGTATGGTGAGCAAAATGGATAGATGGTATTGCCTGTCTAATAATTAGTACATCTTTGTTCACTGCAAAATGCAAATTTTAGTTTTTCTGTTTTAATAATTGACACTTTTTTGCATACATCTTTCTTGATTTGATAACATACCATTTCTTGATTCTGTTTTGGGCTTGCCTGAGGGCTAAAGTTTCAAACCCACTTAAATATATTGTTCTGTACACCCTTTTTCCCCTTCAATAATTGAAATTGTAGATCAATTTCCGGTACTGCAAATGTATGAAGTTCATTTATCTGCACGCTTTGTCCTTGTACTATGGGGATGCACTAGCTTGTTACCTGAAACTAGTCACCAAAAAATTGATTTATTATAGGTAGATTATTACATGACTATGAAAGCCAGTGTATATGCTTTACTAATTTTTTTTAAAAAAATATAATTGACGAAGGCATATCATCTTTACAATCTTAATTCTTTTCGTAATGCATGTGGCTATGTATCAATTTTTTTAAACAATTTCTGTAGCAACCTGCTTTTAATAAGCAACATGGTAAAAGTTAAAAGAATAAATGTCGGTGTAGTGTTAGCATGGGTATATTAGGGCATGTACAAAGCTAGAGTCAGATATAAGCTCTACGTTATCTAGAGACTAGCATCCTACAACAGTTAGAGACAATATGGTCTCTAATCATTAATGTATCAAAATACTTTTTCTTACTTTTGTTTTCTTTCTTTAACCATCATGCAACAAAATTTGCTCTAATAAATGCTAAGAGTCGACTCTGAGCTGTTGTCATGCATAACAACCATACTTCTTTCTCTTTCTTCCATGTCATCAAATTTACTTGTATGGCAATAGAGAGAGTCCACTAATAAACATCGTTGTACATGCCCCCCTTACTAGTACTAATGATTTTACAATATCTGATCGGTGATCACTTAAGAAGTCAGCTTCAAACCTAAGAGAATGCACTTTGTACTGACGAGGTACTCTATTCTCTTCTCTCTTTTTTGTGAGTTTTTCTATTTTATTGTGTGTGCATTACATTTTACTTGCATAAGATTATATATACTTTATTATAGTTTACCGACTTAGATTTGAACTTTGAGCCCACTGTCCGTTTTTATTATGGATTCGCCACCGTCCAGTGCACTACTACAGATTCGATCAGTTTTTGCAAACGGGCCATAACGATTTTCGCATGCGGTTGGGCCAGCCGCATGCACGAAATCGTCTGCAAAGATGGCGATTTAAAGATAAAAAATCACGAAAAAAATAAAATTCCAAAAATAAAAAAAACGAAAAAAAAACCTAGCGCCACCGCCGCCCAAGTTCGTCGTAGCCATCGCCACCGCTACCGTCGTCGCCGTCGCTGTTGCTAGCCGCCAGTACAACCGCCCTGCCCAGATCCACTCCAGCCACGGCCGCCTGAGACCGCCACCGCCACTGCCGCCATCCTCCGTGCCAGATCCGCCGCCCACCGTCGTCGTCGCTGTGGGGAGCCGGATCCGTCACGCCCGAGCTCGCCGCCGCCGCCACGCCCGAGCTGGATCCGCCACGCCGCCACCGGATCCGCCGCACCTGAGCTCGCCGCCGCCGTCCGGTGTCGTCGTCGTCGCCGCGGGGGGAGGGCGCGGCGCCGGATCCGCATGAGAGGAGGGCGGCTGACCCCGGATCCGCTTGGGGGAGGGACGGCGTCCCCAGATCCGCTCTGGCCGCCACCACCGCAGGCCCCCGCGCGCCGCCTCCCGAGCCCCGCGCCGCGCCTCTCAAGTCCGCCCCGCGCCGCGCTCGCGGGGTTGTCGTTGTCGCCGGGGACGGCCACCTGCCGCTGGCAGATCGAGAAGAGATTTGTGAGAGAGAGAGAAAGAGATGAAGAGAGTGAGAACTGAGAGAGAGAAGAAGAAGAAGATAAGACCGCGTGTGAGAAAGAGTTGAAAAATTTTTGAACTGTTGAGATGGAAATAGGAGGCCCCGCATGTAAAATTCTTTTTTGCATGCACTCATTTTTACATGTGGACCACTTAAGCATCCGCATACAAAAATCGTGCGGCTCTTTAAACTTCAAATTGATTTTTATAGCACTAAATTAACTCATGTGAAAAGGTTGATAGAAACAATATTGTAGAACTCATTGAGATCTACCAATTTTCTTTTGGTCATTTCTCCATCCGAGTTTGTTCTCCATCCGAGTTTGATTGGACTATATAAAATTTGAATTTTAAAATACAAAAAAACAAATAATATTTTGAAGCAGTAAATGATTTCAAATTGAAAAGTCATCAACAACAAAGTTGTATAACTCATCAAGATCTACAACTTTTGTTTTGGTCATTTTTTTATATGACTTTGTTTGAACATTTTAAATTTTAATTTCAAAATATGACAACTTCAAACAATATTTTCAAATACTAAATGATTTCAATTGAAAAAGTCATCAATAACAAAGTGGCATAACTCATTAAGATCTATAACTTTTATTTTGGTCATTTCTTCATCTGACAAAGTGATATGTAACATTATTCACAAAATGTACAAATCTCTTATATAGTTCATAAACTATAAGAGAGATATGTAAATTTTGTGAAATTATTACTATCACTTTGCCGGATGAAGAAATGATCAAAATAGAAGTTATAAATCTTGATGAGTTATACAATTTTATTGTTGATGACTTTTTCAGTTGAAATCATCTACTGCTTCAAAATATTATTTGAAGTTTTGAAATTCAATTTTTAATTGATAAAACAAAGTCACGAGAAAAAATGGCCAAAATAATAGCAGTAAAAACACAATAACATGATAGAGCATGATTTTAGAAACATTTAGGGAAAAAATCATCTAATTTGGAGTTCATATGAGTGAGATAAACTAGTTTCAAAGTTTTCGAATTTTATTTTCGCATATGGCTCCTTAAGTGGCCCGTATGGAAAAAATCGATTTTTCCATGCGGGCGCTTAAGTGAGCCGCATGCAAAAATGAGCTGGGAAAATCGATTTTTCTATACGGGCCACTTAAGGAGCCGTATGGGAAAGTGACCCACGATTTTTACAGACGTCACTATGGTCCGTTTGCAAAAATTATGAGGGCTTGTACAGAAAAAAATACTTTTGTAGTAGTGGTGGTAATGGTTCTTGTCTGTCTTCCGGCCAATCTCTTCTACCAAGAGGCCAGGAACCGGCTACTGGCTCGACTAGAGGCTTTGCAATCTCATTTTGAGTTGAAAAGTGAACCCTATGGAGATGATCAATTCTGTAAAGTTTGATGAATTTAGAAACTCCACATTTTGGGTACAAAAATTTGAATGAATTTGTGAACCGGCCCCAACAAACATCAGCTAATAAACCACGGCAAATTTTTTGGTTGTCGATATCTAAAAATAACATTTTCTTGTCGCTGTAGCTCCGAGGAAAATAACAAAAACGCTCTCAATTCTAGCAAATGTTAGCAGCATTGGACTCAGGTGAACATTACTACCATAAATTCATAAATCAGCAGCTTCCGGCTCCCAGCAGCAAAAAGGATGTAGTGTATATCTGGCTGTGCAGCAACAACAGCTGGGTGGCCCTACTCAAGAAAAAATATGGACTGTACTGTTTAACATAAAGGAATGACGAATGAACTCAAAGGAGGTGAGAATGAGGCAGCAAAAGGATGGAATAAAGGGGAGGGGACTCAGATGGGGCGGTCTGTCTATAAATCTTGTCTGTGTTTGCAGCTTTGCTGCTTCACCTCTTCTTTTTCAAGAAAATGAATTAAAACCCGGCCTCCGGCCTCTACATGCTACTTGACCTCAAGTTGTTCCTGCATGCATGCATGCTTAGCCTGAGTTCATTTTAGATTTTGGGGTGATAATATTGTCGTTTCTTGTTAGCACGTTCTCAAATTGCTAAATGTTAATTTTTTTCATATATATTTTTTAAAAAAGTTGAACAAATCTATTTTTTAAATTTATAATATTCGCTTAATTAATCTTGCGCTAATTAGCTTTTTCGTTTTATGTGTGGACGAAAATTTCATCCCAACGCCTCACAAAGGAACTCACTCTTAGAAATTAGAATTAAGCAACGTATATATGAGGATTCAACAATGTGGGGTGATAATTAAGACATAAGCATACCCATGTGCTCCTTTGGAACATATACAAATTTTATAAAAAATTTACAGAATTCGATTGTCGCTGAATCCTTTGAAATTTCTTCATTTCAAAGGAGGCCAAAGACGTTCTTCTCGCTCACGTTCACATTTACCACCAGCTGACGTCGCTAGTTTGCAGTGCTAATCCACGTAGTTTGAGAGGTAAATTACAACTGTTGTCGGCGACGATGACCGAAAGGGAAACGGTGACAAATGGAGGATAGCAAATGTATCTATCTGGTTGTGAATGAGTAGGCGTGATTTTGCCGCTAATTAAAGCAGATGCATGAACGCACGAGCACTGTCGCATCGTGTACGCGTCCCAGGTACAGTGTCCGAGCTACAAGGGCAGCTGGATCATCAAACGATCGACAAACACAAAGGAAAATTAAAGAAAGAAAAGGCA